AGGAGAAAGTGAAATAGAGAAAACTAAAAGAAAATGAGAAAAAGCAGGTATAAAATGGAGACAGAGCTTTTGTAAATGGGAAGGGGAGGAGAGGTTGAAGGTAGGGTAGAAGAATGTCAAACAAAAAAAATCAAGTTATATTATGTACAGGTATAAATTCTCTATGATGAATGTGATCATGATGTATATCTAAAATGTACCAAAAAAATCTGATTTAAAAAAAAGCTGGGTGTAGTAGCTCATGCCTGTAATCCCAGCACTCAGGAGGCTAAGGCAAGAGGATCACTGTGAGTTCAAGGCCAGCCTGGACTACATAATAAACTCAAGACCAGCCTGAACAGCAAGACTCTTGTCTCACAAGATAAAAAAAGGTAAGCATAAAAATCACATTATTATTTCAATAGACACAGAAAAAGCCTTTAACAAAATCAAACATCATTAAAAAAGAAAAAACACCTTGACAAAAAACCACAATAGAAGGACCTTACCTTAAAATGATAAAAGCTAAACAAAATGTACTGCCAACATCAAACTAACCAGGTTAAAACTGAAAACACTACTACTAACATCAGGAAAAAGACAAGGGTGCTCACCATCATCACTATTATTTAGTATAGTACTTGAAGCTTTAGCCAAAGCCATTAGGCAAGAGAAGGAAATAAAAGGGATTCAGATAGGAAAAAAAAGAAGTCAAAATGTCCTTATTTTCAGATGACATGATTCTTTACATAGAGGATCCAAAAATTCCACCAGAAGACTCTTAGAACTGATACACAAATTCAGCAAAGTGGCAAGATACAAAGTGGCAAAGATACAAGATACAAAATTACTACACAAGGCGCCTGGAAGGAGGGCCTCCAGCACACAGGGAGCCACGGGCGGGGAGCACCGGTCTTCCGCCTGGCTCGCTCTCTGCTTCGTAGGTGCCCGGAAGGAGGGGCCCAGGCGCACGGGGAGCCACAGGCGGGGAGCGCTGGTCTTCGGGCTGGCTCGCTCCCTGCCTTGTAGGTGCCCAGAAGGAGGGGCCCAGGCGCATGGGAGCCACAGGTGGGGAGCACCGGTCTTCCAATCGGCTCGCTCCCTGCCTCGTAGGCCCCTGGAAGGAGGGCCCCCGGCACAGCGGGAGCCAAGCGGCGGCAAGTGCTGTTGCGCACCGGCCCTCAGGCTGGCCACTGCTGCTCAATTGAGAACTACCATGACACAGAGAAACAATGACACAATTGG